CCCCCTCCAACAGCTGGTCATGCACAGCCTTATCAGCTGCTTCGCTGAAGTTGCAATCCGAGGGGAGTTCATACAGGGCAGCAGCGCAGGCTTCAAAAGCCTCAGCTGGCATCTGTTGACCCTGACAAAAATTATGTCGCTCCATCAGCTCGTTTGTTGCCGTCGAAAAGTGCTTGTCGAGCACCGCGAGTGCTTCCTCGAAAACGTCCCCGTCACCCTTCTCTTGAGTCGTTTCGTTGCTTGGCTGAGCCGTGGTTGCTGGTGTCATGCTGTAGTATATCTGTTGTCCCTCGACCCCAGTGCATTGAGCAAAGTAGCCTTTCTGCGTTTCAAAGTGGTCATTACTGCAGACGACTTCCACAAAGTTGAGAAACGCGAGCTTCCACTGCCGCCACGGCTTGCAGGTTGGTCCCGGCATAGCGAGGAAGGGTGACTGTTACGGACTGCGGTTAAATATGGCGGCCATCCACCGGTCACAGTTCAGACGAAAGGGGTAGTACTTTCGTAATCCTCGCCACTCTTTATCTGGTGTCCTGAGGACACGAAGGGAAGAACGACTGCCTCATTCGAACAATGAAGAGAGTGTGCTTTACTTTTCATGAACAAAAGAAGTCACGTGTACAACACACTTGCCAGATGAGATGAGGGATAAGAACAATGTTGACGACATAACAAGAACAGAACAGGCAGCTCGTCACAATTTTTGTGACCACTTGTAAAAAACTATTTACCACAGAGTAGGTTGTACTACAGTATTGTTTCTCTTCTGTCTTTATCTGTCCCTCGAGCAAACAGTTGTGATCCTAAAACATTCTACCGCATTTACTTGAGTAATAACCGCACTGTTTATGAAGAAAACCTGAGGGTTCGCTTTTCTGCGGAGCACTCGGATTGCCAATCACCGTGATCGACAGCGTGATTCCAGCGGTTTACAGGACAGAGATAATGTCTTCGCGCGAAGATTCCATCTTTGAAGGTTGCATTCGTATAGAGACTCGTGTTCTTAAACTAGTTATTCGCTATGTTATTTATGCGCAACGCGATGATTGGCTGTATATGTGCTTTGCGATAAGTAAACACAAGGGCCTTGTTCATTAATAGTGCGGCTATTGCTCGAGTAAATATGGTATGTATAGGGAGTATTCACCTAGGGCTTATGTGCGGGTTGCGGGCACATTGCGGGTACCCAGGATGTACCCACGGGTTGCGGGTACATCCTGGGTACATTGCCATCTTTGGGCCCTTGACAGCAGGCAGCCATGCCCGCGCGGCTGCACCAGGACCAGCCGCATTATGCCACAAATCTTTCTCTGGTTTCGGTGACACCGGAATTTGCAGTGCCAGTATTGTGTCCTGCGTGATGGTCGGCTGCTGCACCGAACCACAGTCGAAGAAGGAAAAAGAGAAGAGCAAGCTTGCAGACTCCCATTTCTTCAAGATCCCGAGAGTCTGAACACACAAGTGCGAGAAAGCATGGTCACTCTCTGTGAGAAGGCAGCGTGAATGGTTTGTGCGCATCAACTGGAAAGACCTCGACAAAGGCGTCGACAAGTACTGAATGTGTTCAAGGCACTGTACTTCGTCTCGGGTAACTGTCGGCACCAGTTGCTTTTGTCAGACATCAGTGGTAAGATTTCCGCAAAACTTTGCCCGTCGCTGCTGTTCATCGTGACGTGCATCACTTACATATGGTTTCGACGAACCGAGCAACAGTGGGTCCTGTCGCGTCGCTTGGTATCGATGAAAAAAGAGCTGTAGGGGAGCGCAATGAGGGTGTGATTCTTTTTGCTTGAGCCGTGGCAACTAAAAGGCGACAGAAACAAACTCATGAACAGAGATATTTTTCGGTGCTGGTTTTTTGCCACTCCTGCGATAAACTCACGTTCCAAGTTTCTAAAGCATGTTTCTTTGTTATAATTGAACTTTCACCGCAACTAGGCCTAAAGTATGAGCTATATACAAGTGATTCTTCAAGACGAAGCGACGTGACAGGACTTGCTGTCGCTCGGTCCGTCGAAACCACATGCAAGCGATGCATGTCACGATGAGCAGCAGCAACGGGTGGCGGGAAAAGTTTTGTGGAAATCTTACCACTGATGTCTAACGAAAGCAAAAAGTGGCGACACTTACCCGAGACGAAGTGCCTTGAACACACTTGGTACTACTTGTCGACGTCTTCGTCGAGGTCTTTCCGGTTGATGCGCACAAGCCATTCATGCTGCCTTCTCACAGAAAGCAACCATGCTTTCTCGCAGACGTGAGTTCGGACTCTTGGGATTTACAAGCAACCAAAGTCTGCAAGCAATTGCTTTCCTCTTCCTCCTTCTTCCACTGCGAGTTGGTGCAGCAGCCGACCATCAAGCATGACACCATGCTGACGCTGCAAATTCCGGTATCATCAAACCAAAGAAAGATTTGTGGCGTAGTACAACTGGTCCTCGTGTGGCCGCGCGTGCTAGGCTGTCTACTGTCGGACCTAAAGATGACAATGTACCCAGAATGCACCGTGTGCAACCTGCACATAAGCCGCAGGTGAATACTCCCTATACTCTTGCCCACTTTCCCTTATCTTACAAATGAAGAATACATACAGTTAAACCTCGATGTAACGAAGTCGGTAAAATTCGCAATTTACTTCGTTACATTGAAATTTCGCTAAATCGAAATTTGGCTTTAGCATGCAAAAAAAAAAAAAAAATTCCGAAACATTTTACGGGTATGAAAACTCACCGAAAATGACATTTATTTAGGGGCAAAGTAGTCCGCGAGTTTTGCTTGAGCCTTGTCCGACAGCAGCAGCGGCGTCATACCCGTCATACGGCCTTCGAGCGCCCAGAGCGCTTGCACGGCATCTTGCTGCCCGTGCGACGCCGTGTACCTCCTCAGTACGTCCATTGCGTCGAGCACTTCCCAAGTGCTCGTGATCTCGGCAGTTTCTTCAGGATGGTGTCCAAAACGTTTGCTTTCTCATCCAAAGAAAGAACTTTACGTTTCTTTATGGCAGCAAGCACGTGAGTGAACCGCCCGGTTGAAAAATAAAGCTGTTTAGTTTAGGCGGTGCCAATGTTTCCAACCTACACAGCACTCTTGACCGCACAGTTTACTTGCCCCCTTGCGCCCACAGTGTGCTTGCGCCTTTGCTTTACTACAGCCTTACATCACGCTCGCAAGACGATAATCGGTCTTCTCGGTCTTCTCCTAGATGACACTGCCCGTGCGGTCGCGCGCGCCATCACGTCGCTCCCTTGCTGAAGTTTGCTCCCGCGCTACCCGCGGTACAGTGGACTATGATGATCAGTGAATGTCAGTGGTGATGCTGTTATGCCGTGTTAACTTTTTGCTCGGCATTTTCTGGCCGGCCCCGCGGAATCCGCTTTGCCGCATGCCTCGCCGGCGCTACCGGCGCCGCATCCTCGGGCAGCCGAGGAACGTTGGAAGGCCTGTCCCCGTGAAGTAACCTATCAAGCGCTCGCGTTAGCGCATAATTTTTTTTTAACCACAATTTTTTTGCGAAGTTATTTTTTAGAGTCTATTTATTTATTGCCTTTTATGGCGATGGCGCTTCGTTATATTGAAATAGCAGCAATATAGACTTCGTTATATAGAGACTAAAAATACATGGGGTCTATGGGCAAGAAATTGTGAAAAATAAAATACTTCGTTAAATCGAGGATTTCGTTACATTGAAGTTCGTTATATCGAGGTTCGACTGTAGTTTCAATGTGCTCAGTGCTGTTGTAGATATTTTTGGGAGTGTGCACTTTTAACAGTGCCCTGACTGCTCAATTGTACAGGCCCTATGTTCTGTTTACTTTTTCTATTAACTTGCTAGTTGCTTTTTTGAAGAGTGTCTGTATGTACCAGTATCTAGGCACTGTCTGTTTCTAGACACAAAATAAATAAATTAAAAAAAAGTACTGAATTTCAAAGCAACGAAATGTGCAGCTTAGATGAATTTGAATGAATTTTGATCTGAACTAAGAAGAGTCATGATTCTTTGCTAGAGGTACTAAAGAGGGGTGTTGGAGAGGGGGCAAGCAGCTGATAACAACGTTGGCTTTTAACGTCTTGTAAGCTTGACTCTGCAATCGTCACAAACTTTGTCCAGCAAAGTTACATGAAGTGAAGCGCTTAGAAGTGAATGTCAGGGGATTGCTTATTTGTCCAGACACAGGTGTGAAATATAAGGGATAGCCGCTATGTTACATTTCACAACTCAAGTCAGATATAAAAAAGAACCCACCTCTTTTGCAAAAAATCTCTAAAATGAATCCTTAAAAAAATGACCGCATCTCCACGTGGTGAATGATGTTGATTGGGGTGAAGCTCTGGTTGTGCTTGTCTGCATAGACGCTGAGCCGCAGCATGCCGATCCTTTCGTTCGTTTTTGATCCATGTCAGAAAGAGAATGTGTGGTATGGAATGTGGTTATATACGCATTTGAGCATTTGACTGCAGCGCCCTCTCGTCCATAAATGTTGAGCCAATGCATGCAAAGTTTAACGCGATTATATACACATTTGACCGCAGCGCCCTCTCCTGTATAATACGTCGAGCGGCTACATGCAACGTTTCATCCATGACATCCCCAGCTCTTGAGTTACTACCACATCTCAGAGCCCCCTACTCGTCCCGCAGTTGTGGCCGAGTGGTTAAGGCGATGGACTAGAAATCCATTGGGGTCTCCCCGCACCAATTCGAATCCTGTCGACTGCGCAAACATTTTTTTTCCATCATTTTTTAAAAATTTTTTGCCATACACGAGCACGTGAGCACGTGAGCTCACGAGCACGAGCACAAGCAAGATCGATGTGAGCACGGACGCCGGACGGACAAGGCTAGACCCTAAGGAGCTTCGCCCCTAATACAGAGAAAGAGGTAGCTATAATTATAACTGATTAGGCAGTTCATCCTAAAGTATAGGGAGATCATACGGATTTATGTGGTGATGAAACTTGACAACACAGAACTGGTGTTAATGTCCGGTAAAGCATGCTTACACTTTTACTGTCTGGAATGATGCCCCTATCGTCGGCGATGTTGCTCCGACAAACTTCTTCTCCAAGTACCGTGCGATAATGCTTGTTTTTCCCACACCTGTAAATAATAAAAGAAAAGAAGCTGTAATTGATTTTATAGTGTTATCACAACATTAGCAGTGATGGGATTGGTCCAAGTAATTTTGGAGCACCTTATGGAGCAGCCAAAAGTCAACTTTGAAGCAGCAAAGAAAACTTTTGGAGCAAGCATATGCTTACATTTAATTTTCGTTCCTACCACTGCAAAAGTTAAGATTAATGTGTTGGCCTACTCATCAGAAGACAATGTCTACTTTGCTCTCCCACTTCTGTGCAACTTTATGTGAGTCATTTTAGAGAATATTGTTTTCTGAGTCAGTTTGGAGCGCTTTTTGGAGCAGCAAAATTAACTTCTGGAGCATATCTTTAACTTCATTTTCAGCCTATCACTGCCAACCTTAAGATTATAATGTGTTGACCTGTTCAACAGGCCTTCCCACTTCTGTGCAACTTTTTGTAAGCAACAATTGCACGGCAGGTTTGATTCCCTCAAACACAGAACTAGCTGTTGCACGTAGAAGCCCCAGGCATGGCAATAATATGCTGGATGATGGACAGTATTATACTGCTGTGAATTGTTATTTTAGGTAGAGAGACAAAGGTAAAGTGGATAGTATATTCCACGGAAATCATGTTAGAACAGAAAAATATTGAGCACCCAAGTTGATGTTTCATTGAAGGCCTAAATAAAAGTGCAATTATTAATTGAGATAAAACAAAGTTTTTGTTGTTCGATTATTAACATAAATTAATATTATATGCGAGACTTCATGGTAACAAAAATCGACATGTGAACAATAAATAAGCCCTAGAAACAATCCAGTCGAACTCGTTAAGGTTATTCCCAAGTTTCCATCCACTCCTACAGCTAATTGAGTTTTGAAATAAAATTCGGTTGTGTGTGTGTTTATACAGCCTCAAGCTTAGTCTATCTGAACGGACAACTTGTCTCCCAGCTGTAGATGAGCAATATAGCCAGTGCAGTACAACCGCTAGCCTGGGGTATTTAACGTGCACCACGCAGTAGTGATACACGACCGCATGCCGGTACAATGATCATCCTGATCGAAACAGGCATAAGTGGGGACTGAACCCAGGATCCCTGGGTTCTGCAGCGTGATCTTTCACTCCACGTGCACCGAGCTGGTGTGCGCTAGGCCACTCAGCCACCGATCCCCCTATCGAGTTTTAATTTGCTCTGAATTCCCTCTGCCCCACAAAGATGGAACCTATTTAAAGGCAATAACCAAACCAGAGTTGACATAAAAAATAAGTTTACCGTAAAATACCGCGGAAGCGCCCACTTCGTTCAAGTGCCCACTATTAAAATTTCTCAAACTTGGAAATCATATGGCAAGTGCCTGATTTGACCGGACAAGCACCCATGTCTAGATTAACCCAGTTTTCACTGAAAGTGGGGTGGGTGCTCCCCCAGTATTTTACAGTATAGAAAACTTCAGATAAATCTTCAAGTAATACACAAGCACCCCTGCTAAATCTTGAATTTGAAAAAAAAGTCATCAGAATACCACAGTCTATATAATGTACTAGCCACAGTTTTATTCAATATCTTTTACTGCAAGGTAGAGTTGTTACAGCAGCACCCACCAAGTTTGCCTTTCGTAGTATGCTTCTCCAGAGCAAGGCTTTGCCTTGCTCTGGAACAAGGCGTGAAGTTGAGCCAGTTGGTTCATGATGCAAACTTGCAAACAGCGCAATAAAGACAAGGGACAAGAATGAGAAGTGAACGAACACAACGCTGACTGGCAACTGAAGTTTATTCCTGCGAGGAACAGAAAAGAAAACATAAAAGATGCAAGATAGATAAAACATAATCCACCCCCTTGAGGCACGTGTGAGCACTTAAACAAATCTGCCGAATTTCTTAAGGAAAGTCACTTCGTCATCCGCCAGTGACACGGGTGGGGCACTAACACACGTGTCCGCTCCGCAGGTAGAAATAAAAAATGCCTCATCAATTTCTCTAGTCACTTTGTTACGGTGACGAGCCAGAATCTTAATCTCCGTGAAAACCGGAGAACACGAACACTTCTCGCAGTGAACTGCAAGGTGTCCCAATGGTGAAGACCGAAGGGAAAGGGAATGCTCCCTGGCCCTAACATTGACACACCTCCCCGTCTAACCTATGTACATCCTGCCACACGACAAAGGGATCAGATACACGACACCCGTCGCGCACGTAATATACCGGGTTCGGTGGCTAACCACACACCGAGGCCCAGATAACCCAACACGATTAACTGTGGCTTAAAGACGGGACAACTTTGAAGGAGCTGAGAACACAACAGGCACGTCAAACTTTTCAGTCACCTGCTTGATCCTATGTGAAAATTTGTATACATACGGCAGAACAACCGGCCTGGAGGACATTCTCCTCCTTTCCCCTCAAAGTCAAAAAACCTCTAAACACTTTTCTCACAGCTATGGTGACAGCCCTCTGGTGAAATCCTGTCACCATAGCTGCAAGAAAAGTTTTTTGTCTCAGGCCAGCAGGCTGCATTCTGCTGGATTCCCGTTCGCTGTGGTTGTGGGTGTTGCGGAATCACTTCTCAAAGTGTTTAGAGGTTTTTTGACTTTGAGGGAAAGGAGAAGAATGCCCTCCAGGCCGGTTGTTCTGCCGTATGTACACAAATTTTCAGATAGGATCAAGCAGGTGGCTGAAAAGTTTGACATGCCTGTTGTGGTCTCAGCTCCTTCAAAGTTGTCCCGTCTTTGCGCCGCAGTTAATCGTGTTGGGTCATCTGGGCCTCGGTGTGTGGTTAGCCACTGAGCCCGGTATGCTACGTGCGCGACGGGTGTCGTGTATCTGATCCCTTTGTCGTGTGGCAGGGTGTGCATAGGTTAGACGGGGAGGTGTGTCAATGTTAGAGCCAGGGAGCATTCCCTTTCCCTTCGGTCTTTACCGTCGGGACACCTTGCAGTTCACTGCGATAGGTGTTTGTGTTCTTCGGCTCTCGCGGAGATTAAGATTCTGGCTCGCCACTGCAACAAAGTGACTAGAGAAATTGATGAGGCGTTTTTTATTCCTACCTATGGAGCGGACACGTGTGTTAGTGCCCCGTCCGTGGCTTTGGCGGATGACAAAGTGACTTTCATTAAGAAATTCGGCAGATTTGTTTAAGTGCTCGGATGTGCCTCAAGGGGGTGGATTATGTTTTATCTATCTTGCATCTTTTATGTTTTCCTTTCTGTTCCTCACAGGAATAAACTTCAGTTGCCAGTCAGCGTTGTGTTCGTTCACTTCTCGTTCTTGTCCCTTGTCTTTTTTGTGCTGTTTCCAACCTTGCTCTGGAGAAGGATTTCCTCTAAGTATATGGCGGCCCAGCAGCAAGGCAAGATATGAAAAATATCAATGCCTGTTTTGCAGTTTTTACTTCTCTGCAGTGCATCAGAGTGCGGTCAGATGAGCACTCAATGAAGCTATCTGACCCACCAGAACAGACTACAAGCATGAGAATATTGCACGACGTCCGAATGCTGTCAGTATTTGATATGGAGATTTACTCGAGTAGTATGTCATTTAAGGCAATAATCAGAAGTTCTGAAAATTCGGAAAAGCTATACCGCAATGACCCGGCCGTGCAGTGGGTCCTCAGCTATTCCTTTTTCAGTATTAACAAAGTGAAATTACATTTTGGTGCAAAACTAGCCCAAATTCATCACATTTTGTGGCAATGTAGCAGGATATAGCAGGGTTAGCACTTCGGTGCAGTTTGGCGCAGCAACCATATCACTGCATTAGGGCTGTGCTTCACTAACTTTGGACAAACCGCCACCAAAGGCTTTCCAATTTGGTCAGTGAATAGGATAGTTTACATAACTGCCAGACTAGAAGCATGCACTCAACTTCCAAGTGCTTGCAACTAAATTTTTGTGCAGAACATTCTGAAAAAGAACAAATCTTCCATTTTAAAATTAAAACTTAGCATAGGTAAGGTAAGTGAGGCAAGCAGGTATAGTAATTAAGTATGGCTGAATCAGTGCCATGAAGGCTTCCTCAACACACGGGAAAGGGGGAAGGAGGAACCTTGGCATACTTTCCTGCTGCACCGCAGATCACAAGCCCATACAGTCACGTCTTGTTAATATGGAGCCCGTTAGTATGGTACTTTGCTATATAAACAATATTTCCAGGACTGAAGTGGGTAAATACATGTATCTTTGTCTTGTTATTATGGACAACTTACATTATGAATGCTTTTTGCAGGTAACAGATGTCTATATCAGAGCAAAAAAAGCTAGCCAGCTTGCCATCCTCGAATAGATGAGCTGGCTGACCAAACTGGGCACGAGTAGCATTGTGTGATGCACTTGAGCATGCAGTGAACGCGCACATACAAGCAGCAGAAAGGAGGAAATTAAAAGCGGAGACGGAACATCCGTGCCCAGGCGCCACGCCAGTGGAGGCAATGCCAGGTGAGGAGGAGGAGGAGGAGAGGAGGAATACCTCTTCTCTACATTCCTAATGCTCTCCCTTTTTCCACTCTCCTTCCATATCCTTCCTCTCCCATCCCAACTTCCTAGTGCTGGTCCTTTCTCTCTTCGCCTGCACTGCACACAACTAGTGACACAGAGTATAGTGGTTGAACAAACCGCTTGTTCGAGGTGGCTGTTATGGGGCCTCAGCCTTAAAGGGTTACTGACAACCCAAACATTAATACTTTTTTTTATTTTCTCATATGCTTGAAGAGCATGTGACAGAACCCCCCCAAAAAACTTGATTGTGAAAAAAAAAAAAGTTCTAGAATGCAAAAAAGTTAGTCAAAAATGCCCCCCTTCCCCCTCCCCCTCCCCCTCCCCCCCCCCCCCCCCCCCACACACACACACAAGCCGAGCTGCTCCTTGTTTCTTTTTTGCGATAAAATAGTAGACGAAGGCATTTCTTTTAAATTTAGGTGTGTTGCAAGTTGCACATCTGTAACAATTGTTGACATTCAGCCATATGTATTTTACAACTGCAAATATACCAAGAAGTGTCCTCGACGAAGCATCGGCCGT